TTAAAATAATGTTTTCCAAACCATTAAAAAAAAAAATTATTAAAGTAAACGTGTTATAAAAAGTTTGTGATAGATCTGTTGGCCCTAAAAGTTTGTGATAAATCTGTTGGCCCTAAAAGTTTGTGATAGATCTGTTGGCCCTAAAAGTTTGTGATAGATCTATTGGCCCTAAAAGTTTGTGATAGATCTATTGGCCCTAAAAGTTTGTGATAGATCTATTGGCCCTAAAAGTTTGTGATAGATCTATTGGCCCTAAAAGTTTGTGATAGATCTATTGGCCCTAAAAGTTTGTGATAGATCTATTGGCCCTAAAAGTTTGTGATAGATCTATTGGCCCTAAAAGTTTGTGATAGATCTATTGGCCCTAAAAGTTTGTGATAGATCTATTGGCCCTAAAAGTTTGTGATAGATCTATTGGCCCTAAAAGTTTGTGATAGATCTATTGGCCCTAAAAGTTTGTGATAGATCTATTGGCCCTAAAAGTTTGTGATAGATCTGTTGGCCCTAAAAGTTTGTGATAGATCTGTTGGCCCTAAAAGTTTGTGATAGATCTATTGGCCCTAAAAATTTGTGATAGATCTATTGGCCCTAAAAGTTTGTGATAGATCTATTGGCCCTAAAAGTTTGTGATAGATCTGTTGGCCCTAAAAGTTTGTGATAGATCTATTGGCCCTAAAAGTTTGTGAAAGATCTATTGGCCCTAAAAGTTTGTGATAGATCTATTGGCACTAAAAGTTTGTGATAGATCTATTGGCCCTAAAAGTTTGTGATAGATCTATTGGCCCTAAAAGTTTGTGATAGATCTATTGGCCCTAAAAGTTTGTGATAGATCTATTGGCCCTAAAAGTTTGAACCATGTTCATAGCCATCAACAATGGTGTTACGAACAAGAGGAACTCGCCCTTTGTTTATTTCACGTTTGTATTGGGCTGCCTTGTCAATGTTCTGCTCCTGGTCAATGTCTACTTCTTCATGCTCTTGGGGGTTGGACATGCCAGCAATGCTCCAGATCAATCAGAGAAGAAGGTCACGACATGACCGGTAATTTTAATAGCTGTCATGAGCTCTGAGGTCGTAATGACTCAATCCATTTTTTGAATGGCTTAGCACAACAACAACATAAACAAGAACATAAACAAAGACTGTAGTTTAATCTTAAGATGAACAGATTTTGTTCCATGGAACATTCTATCGTCCGTCATGTCTTAAACTGTTTATATTAAACAACATAAATATGATCCCACCTACTCCGCCCTCTGACCCGCGCCTGGTTGGAACTGTGCGCCTCCACCCCCACCCCCCTCACCACCCACACCCTCCTCACCGCACACAGTTTTTGTTAACTCATATCGCCCTCAAATGAGATATATAGAAAATTTCGAGTAGCTTATTTAGAACTTTGTCAGTTGTTATGCAATTAGTATAAAATACATATTAATTTGGTTTCTATGAGGCAGTACAATATACGTTTATTTTAATGTATTGAAAAATTTCATACACAAACATTTGAAATGTCTAGAAAGCTAACATGTTTCGATAGATTTCGCAACTTGGACCATCATTAAGTTTCATTTATTAAAGCGACTCGCATTAAAAAAAAAACTATCATAACTACGTTCCATAATTGATATTGGTTTCTAGTTTTATCAGAAATGTAACATCACAAACAACAGCGTCCCTAACAAGTTTTCTTGGGTAAGCATTTCAATCGTGCAATAAATAATGTCATCTCTGCATTGTCCTCCTCCCCTCCCCCCCACCCCATCCCCCAGGTGTGCACCACCAAAGAGTGCGTTGCGATAAGCGCCACCATCTTAGGGAAGATCGATTGGTCAGAAGAGAAGGATTATTTTTTTAGGCGAGACGTTACCGGGCATTGGGTTGGAAAAACAAAAAGAGTTTGTGACGACCTTGACCCAAGTCGTTCCTTGAATGTATCGTCCCTCATTAAAGAAACCCGACGATGAACACAGACACTACATAAACATACAAAGCGATATAAATAGACATAAAGTGACACAAAATCGTCACCACAAAAAAGTGTGCCCCCCCCCACTCTTCACTTCCTACGCCCATGGTTACGGTACACCTATGGATTTTTTTTTTTTTAATGGTTCAAATTTCGCGCTTAAACTTGAAATACGTTAATAAATAATGCAAGCCAAGTGAGTTTCACAAAAGATAACGTCAACACATGCAGCTCATTTCATGGCGGTCATAGACCTTGTTATTTATGCAAAATAATAGTGGTGTTTTTCTTTGGCTTTTACTTTGAAATTTGGGTGTGAAGGTTACTGGCCTGGTTTGTGACAAATGGTTATGTAGTTGTGTGTGTGTGTGTGTGTGTGTTTGTGCGCTCGTGTGTGTGTAGTATGTGTATTTGCATACGTGTGTTTTCTGTGTGTTGTGTATGTGTGTATGAGTGTGTTGTTTGTGTGGCTATTCCTAGTTTTATCTGTGCTAACACAGAAAACAAAAAAATTTTTTTAAAAATAATTATAAACTCAATAAAAAAATTTAAAAAAATAACTTATGTGTTTAGTAATAAGGTATTGAAAAACTTTCTTATAAATACTATCAGTGACCTCAACTGCATCTGGGGTTGTGTTTCCTGGCAGTACATAGGTGGGTTGGGTTTACTGGGAGTAGGTGAGTGGGTTGGGTTTACTGGGAGTAGGTGAGTGGGTTGGGTTTACTGGGAGTAGGTGAGTGGATTGGGTTTACTGGGAGTAGGTGAGTGGGTTGGATTTATTGGGAGTAGGTAAGTGGGTTGGGTTTATTGGGAGTAGGTGAGTGGGTTGGGTTTCCTGGGAGTAGGTGAGCGGATTGGGTTTACTGGCAGTACGTGAGTGGGTTTGGTTTACTGGGAGTAGGTGAGTGGGTTGGGTTTCCTAGGAGTAGGTGAGTGGGTTGGGTTTACTGGGAGTAGGTGAGCGGATTGGGTTTACTGGCAGTACGTGAGTGGGTTTGGTTTACTGGGAGTAGGTGAGTGGGTTGGGTTTCCTAGGAGTAGGTGAGTGGGTTGGGTTTACTGGGAGTAGGTGAGTGGGTTGGGTTTCCTGGGAGTAGGTGAGTGGGTTGGGTTTACTGGGAGTAGGTGAGTGGGTTGGGTTTACTGGCAGTACGTGAGTGGGTTTGGTTTACTGGGAGTAGGTGAGTGGGTTGGGTTTCCTAGGAGTAGGTGAGTGGGTTGGGTTTACTGGGAGTAGGTGAAAGGGTCGGGTTTGCTGGGAGTAGGTAAGTGTGTTGGGTTTACTGGGAGTAGATAAATTGGTTGGGTTTACTGGGAGTAGGTGAGTGGGTTGGGTTAACTGGGAGTAGGTGAGTGGGTTGAGTTTCCTAGGAGTAGGTGAGTGGGTTGGGTTTACTGGGAGTAGGTGAGTGGTTGGGTTTACTGGGAGTAGATAAGTGTGTTGGGTTTACTGGGAGTAGGTGAGTGGATTGGGTTTACTGGGAGTAGGTGAGTGGGTTGGGTTTACTGGGAGTAGGTAAGTATAGCTTGGGGGGACGACATATCACGAGCGGGTAGGGGCAGACAAACAGTGCAAGGACTGAAAAAAGCACAGTTCGGTTACCACCCTTACAGTGAAAAAAAAAAATAATTAAAAAAAAACAAAAAAAAACATTAAAACACACACACATAAAAAAAGATGTTTAAAATGGCAGTACACTGTAATTGAAATGTACAGTACATTGTAATTGAAATTTACAGTTCATTGTCGCCGAGTTTCAAATAAAAAAAATTATATTGAAACCTTTTTTTTTCAAGACGGTAACTCCATTTCAATAAGTGACATTGTCTTTTGATGACAATTACATTTTGCACATTCATTTCAATAAGTGACATTGTCTTTTGATGACAATTACATTTTGCACATTCATTTCAAATTAATGACATTGTCTTTTGATTACAATTACATTTTGCCCATTCATTTCAATAAATGACATTGTCTTTTGATTACAATTATATTTTGCCCATTCATTTCTCATCATATGAATAAACATTCAGATTGAGATCAAGTTTCACTAGAGCAAGTTGAACTTAAGCAGGGGTCAAGTCCTGATTTTAAAACAAAAAGGTGTTGGAGCCCACCCAAGATTTCTCCCCTCCTGGAATAATTATATATTTATATCTTCGCATCGACAAGAGTATATAATTGCTGGAACTCTGTTCCCTCACGGTCCTGAGAGGACTCGAGCCATGGACGTAGGACATTTTAAAGTATTTCACGGGGGCAAAAAATAGCAGCCACCAAATGTAGTAGAACGTGACTCACTTAATGACAATCCTGACATTAGCAGCGATAATTTGATTTTATAGTATTGGTGGTCTATGGTTATAATGCGGAGTTGTTACGTAAGTATTGCCTTTTTACCAGCCCATCGGGGGCCCATGAGGTGGCCCATGAGGGGGCCCATGAGGGGGCCCATGAGGTGGCCCATGAGGGGGCCCATGAGGGGCCCATGAGGGGGGCCCATAAGAGGGAAGTTGAGGCAACGAAGCGAATCGGTAAGACACAAGCGGGGCCATGAGAGACAAGATGGCTCCCGGTTCATTTGCTCCGCTCTCTCCCCTACCGGATCACCAATGTGAGCCCCATTATGTCACACTAACTAATCCCCCCTCCCCCCAAACCCCGAGGTAATCCCTACGTGAGATAACACATGCACATGATAAGCGACGACCAGGCTTCCAGTAACTTTGAGTTGTCATTAACTACAACAAAGGAACAAGTAAAGATACAAATCAACCTTGAGGCGATGTCAGCCTTGTGAGACATCCATCTCATTCCCACCATGCAACGCAGCGTTCACTCCAATATTTTGTGTTTCTTAATTATTATTATTTTTAAAAATAAATTCATTCATTTGCACAAACAGCCTAGCCGGAGATTCATGTTCGGCCATTTTGAAAGACTATTTTAGGTACAACCAATCAGATCGTCCCATTCAGGCCTCCCCCCCCCCCCCCCCCCCCCCCCCCCCCGTAAACCAAGGGGGGAGAATTCCGCCGCAGTGCTCGGATATCGGCAGCACGGCAATTCTTGTGATTATTTTTTAATTATTGGAAACTTCAAATAATTGAATGTTGGTGTAGCTTGCAAAGAGCCTGGATCGTACACACCATGAAGGAGGCAACAACATGAGTTCTTGTTGTTGTTGCTTTTTTGTGTGTGTGTGTGTGTGTGTTTTTTAAACGATTTTAATTCACAAATAATATTCGGAACCACCTTTAACACTAAATGGATTTAAAAAGTAAGTTTAATCACCGTGTACATGCAACACCTATCACCGTACGTATACCATCTCACACTGTACATGTAATATTTCACACGGCACTTGTGCTTGAGCAGGTTTGTGTACATACTTGAGTCGTGATTTTGGTGTACATACATACTTGATACATAATTGCATTTAATATTCTAATTTTTTAAGAATATACTTAAGTTAAGTGAACAGACTGGGGTAAAATATTTATATCAAATGACATAATCGAACATTTTCACTAAATGAACGAGAAAAATTCAATGTGTGCGTACGGCACCCCTTACTCTTCCCGTGTCAGAGAAATCTGTTCACCCCCTTCCAGCTTGTTTAACCCCCCCCCCACACACCCAATTCTTAACAAGGGAAAAACGCTAACAGGCTTGGCCAACATTAAGATATCCAAGATCTCTCTGAGCGATTGATCCCAGTTTTTTTTTTCATGGCGTTGAAAATCCTTGGCAACGACCCCCGGGGGGGGGGGGGGTTATTTCTAAAGAGACTTTTAAAAAAAAAAAGGTCACATCTCACGAGGCCGGAATTTGGTGTTTTTTTTTGTTGGGGAATGGGGTGGGGTGGTCGGGGCTTTTAACGTCATCTCTCTAACGAAAACAAACCATTTTCTTACTTGATTCCAACACAAGCTTAAGAAATGGAAACAAAAACAACAGCAACAACAACAAAAAATGTCCGAGACTTGATCGACTTTGTGTGCAGTTGCCGTAAGGTTTTCTCCGATCTCAACCCAAGAGATGTACTGGGTACTTCAATACCAAGATTTGTACCCAAATGTAAAGACGATGCCGCCAATTATATCCAACTTATCGGAGCGCGATCACAAGAGTCCAAAATCTCTAAATAAGTGTACAATAGTCCGATATCTCTAAATAAGTGTACAATAGTCCAATATCTCTAAATAAGTGTACAATAGTCCAATATCTCTAAATAAGTGTACAATAGTCCAATATCTCTAAATAAGTGTACAATATTCCAATATCTCTAAATAAGTGTACTAAAGTCCAATATCTCTAAATAAGTGTATTAGAGTAAAACACCTCCCACCATGTTTACAATAGTCCAATATCTCTAAATAAGTGTACAATAGTCCAATATCTCTAAATAAGTGTACAATAGTCCAATATCTTTAAATAAGTGTACAATAGTCCAATATCTCTAAATAAGTGTACAATAGTCCAATATCTCTAAATAATTGTACAATAGTCCAATATCTCTAAATAAGTGTACAATAGTCCAATATCTCTAAATAAGTGTACAATAGTCCAATATCTCTAAATAAGTGTACAATAGTCCAATATTTCTAAATAAGTGTACAATAGTTCAATATCTCTAAATAAGTGTACTAAAGTCAAAGATCTTCCACCATGTGTACAATGGTCCAATCGCCCTCAAACTTTTCGGTCCGCGGGCCAGAATTTAACTCCGGACATGCTCAAGGGGGTGGGGGGGAGGGGCGGCGGACCCGCTGCCTGAGGAAATCCCAGTTTATTTTCATGCCTACATTACTACGTCCGTTGGGCACCATAGCGTCCGCAGGGCACCATAGCGTCCGTAGGGCACTATAGTGCCGGTAGGGCACTATAGCGTCCGTGGGGCACCATAGTGTCCGTAGGGCACTATAGTGCCGGTAGGGGACCGTAGCGTCCGTAGGGCACCATAAGTCATTTTATCGTGGAAAAAAAGGACCTAAAATTTAGAATTACGAATTCGCATTTTAAGATATTTAATAAAAAAAATTTCTTGTTGGAGTTATGCTAATGAAAGAAAGTGAACAATAACTTTATTTCCCTGCAGAGATTCAACACTGTATTAATTCAATAACTTTATTATCTTGATGAAATTCAACCCTTTTTTAATTCAATAACTTTATTTCCATGATGGAATTAAAAACGGATTTAATTTAATTACTTTATTTCCATGCTAAAGTTCAACACTGTTTCAAATCAATAACTTTATTTCCATGCTGAAATTCAACACTGTTTCAATTCAATAACTTATGAAAAGCAACAGTGTTCTACTATGTTTTCCTTGGTTTGATAGAAAGTGTCATTGTGAGAAATGAAAACTTACTGACACTATTCAATATTGCGCTAGTCTAGTGCAGTGCTTCTCAGCCTTCCTAATGCCGCGACCCTTTAATACAGTTCCTCCTGCTCTGGTGAACCCCAACCATAAAATTGTTTTCGCTTCTTCTTCATAATTATGTGTTTTCCGATGATCTTAGGCAACCCCTGTGTAAGGGTCGTTCGACCCCAAAGGGGTCGCGCTTCATAGGTTGAGAACCGTGGGTCTAGAGGGTATGAGGTCAAAACGGCTCACTTGTGTATAAGGGATGTTTGTCTGTGACCACTCTGTGGCTAATTTTGGGGTTTATTTGATTTTGAGGTTTGCATACATTACATAACATAATATAATATTATGTTTTTGTTGATGGGGTGCACTTTTGTAACCGCAACCCCCCCCCCAACACACACACACACCCTCACCGCACATATCTATGCTCTTCACTCTTGAGTTTGAGTCAATCTTTCGTTACATACAATGTCTATTCGCTGACCAAAGGAACTAGCATTGTACTTTGCAACACAGCAGCTCCTGGTGTGTCGAACGTTTCATGGTACGCCCGGATGCTTCAATTGGATAAATGTATAATTATGTGCTAGTTGAGATGACCTCGCGGGCGAGGTTAGTCCAATATAATAGTACAATATAATAGTCCAATATAATAGTCCAATATAATAGTCCAATATAATAGTCCAATATAATATTCCCATATAATAGTTAATTATAATATAGTCCAATATAATAGTCCAATACAATAGTCTAATAAAATAGTCCAATGTCATAGTCCAATACATAATAGTCCAATATAATAGTCCAATACATAATAGTCCAACATAATTTTCCAATATAATAATTAAATATAATTTTCCAAAATAATAGTCCCATATAATAGTCAAATATAATAGTCCCATATAATAGTCAAGTATAATAGTCCCATGTTATAGTCCAAAATAATAGTCCAATATAATAGTCCAATATAATAGTCCAATATAATAGTCCTATATAATAGTCCAATATAATAGTCCAATATAATAGTCCAATATGATATTCAAATATAATTTTCCTATGTAATAGTCCAATATAATTGTCCAATATAATTTTCCCATATAATAGTCCTGTATCCTTGTCCCATAACCATAACCTGATTAAAGCTGTCCAAAAAAAATTATTTATTTCCATTTATTTGGATCAATAAAAGAATCTTAATATGACTATTATAAGATAAGATAAGATTCTTATAATAATATAATACATAATGTGAATATTATAAGATAAGATAAGATATGTCGAAGAACTTTATTTTTATTAACTTCGCTTTTTTCGTGTGTTCGCGGCAAAATCTCCAGAAGGCTAAATGACCCCACTTCCCGTCATTCTATCGAGCTGAAACTCGGCACATGGACTCGTTGGCGATGACAACACAATCTTTCAAACTGTCAGCCCCAGCCCCCACAAATCAGTTTTCCCCATTTTTCAGGGGGGGGGGGGCGTGAGGAACGTTAATGCTTTGTTGAATGGGTGCGTGTTTTGCTGTTGAGATTAATCGTGTAGCTGTTACCGTGTATTTACGACATTTCTGGGTATGCAGTAAAAATAAAAATGTATTTTTTTGGAATTGGAAAATGAAGGACACATGAGAAGCGTTTTCAATTTATATGACCGCTTTTTAATAAATTATGACAAATCACGTACAATTCTATTATACATGCAAGACAAATGCGTATAAAGAATTGTTTAGGTACTTTAATTTTTTTTCTTCAAGATTTGTCCACTATTTGTTTAATACCGTCAAGAATTCTAACACATTTTTGTAAAGCCCCTCACTGGAAGGAAAGTAGCCGATAAGCCCCTCACGACCCCTGTTCGTCCCAGCGTGTTACGTCTCATGATTTTGTCATTCACAGACACACCCAGGCGCGGATTAAACACGGATTAGCCCGGATTAATCTCGGCATGAAACATGCATGGGTCACCCGTCGGAGCCCGAAAACACAGCGCGGTCGCACCAAGACCGCCAGTGCAGGGGGTCACACGATCACGTGACATCATAGTATCGCCTTTGAGTCTCGACTTGAAACATTCATGCTGCCCCAGCGGAGCCCAAACTATAACGCTGGGCCTCAAGACCGCCATCAGAAAGCCTCGCTGTCAAGGGACTCTATAGTTCCTTTTTATGTCTTCGGATCTCCGTGACGGTTCCTCTCTGTTGGGCAGCTTTAAAAATCCGACATTGTTTTGGGCGGGCGGGGCTTGGGAGATGTCCGATAGGAAGGCCAAGGTTTTCTTGAGGGGAGCGGAGATGCGTGGGAGATGTCCGATAGGAAGGCCAAGGTTTTCTTGAGGGGAGCGGAGATGCGTGGGAGATGTCCGATAGGAAGGCCAAGGTTTTCTTGAGGGGAGCGGAGATGCGTGGGAGATGTTCAATAGGAAGGCCAAGGTTTTCTTGAGGGGAGCGGAGATGCGTGGGAGATGTCCAATAGGAAGGCCAAGGTTTTCTTGAGGGGAGCGGAGATGCGTGGGCAATGTCATGGGGGGAAATATCCGACCTGGGTCAATGTCTCGTATGTGGGCATTTGCTAACTCTTGGACACGTGAATGGTCAGACTAACGAAATCCCGCCCCATTGTGTGAAATGCCGTACGTGTATCCATTGTCTTAGATGTTTACAATTGTCGTAATTGTTTGACGTTGACTCCATTTTCGTAAATGTCTCCTTTCTTGGGTACAGTATTGTCTCAATTTTGGGGTACAGTATTTCCTTTCTCGCGTACAGTAATATCTCTTTTCTTGAGTACAGTATTGTCTCCTTTCTTGGGTACAGTATTATCTCCTTCCTTGGGTACAGTATTGTCTCCTTCCTTGGGTACATTATTGTCTCCTTCCTTGGGTACAGTATTGTCTCCTTCTTTGGGTACAGTATTGTCTCCTTCCTTGGGTACAGTATTGTCTCCTTCCTTGGGTACAGTAATGTCTCCTTCCTTGGATACAGTATTGTCTCCTTTCTTGGGTACATTATTGTCTCCTTCCTTGGGTACAGTATTGTCTCCTTCCTTGGGTACAGTATTGTCTCTTTCCTTGGGTACAGTATTGTCTCCTTTCTTGGGTACATTGTTGTCTCCTTCCTTGGGTACAGTATTGTCTCCTTCCTTGGGTACAGTATTGTCTCCTTCCTTGGGTACAGTATTGTCTCCTTCCTTGGGTACAGTATTGTCTCTTTCCTTGGGTACAGTATTGTCTCCTTTCTTGGGTACATTATTGTCTCCTTCCTTGGGTACAGTATTGTCTCCTTTCTTGGGTACATTATTGTCTCCTTCCTTGGGTACAGTATTGTCTCTTTCCTTGGGTACAGTATTGTCTCCTTCCTTGGGTAAAGTATTGTCTCCTTCCTTGGGTACAGTATTGTCTCTTTCCTTGGGTACAGTATTGTCTCCTTTCTTGGGTACAGTATTATCTTTTATCCATTGTCGTTATCGTGTTCCCAAGTATTGAACAAATAATAATTCTGCCGTGAATAAAATAAAACATCAATTTTTCATCCCCAATAGATTTACAAAAGATCTGGCTCATCGCTGCCCTCGTCGTGTCAGTGTGCATCATCATACGACAGCACTACCTCCTGGCGGCAACATCCCAGCATGCGCTGCCACTTCCGCCATCTCTGGTAGTCAACATCGCGCCACTGGTCGGGGCCGAGAAAAACTTGCAAGGGAATGAATCCTCGAAATTATTGTGAGTTGTCTCCCCATTTCTTTCAGAACTGAAGCATTTATAAAGTGGTTATAACTGTTGTTTGTTTGTTTTGAATGGTGTCGGTGGTGTTGGTCTCAGCTGTGTGGGTAATGTCAGTGTTTTCCCGGTGGTGGTAGTGGATTGTGGTAGACATCAAGTAGTGGGGAGGCTAAGGTGAGCTAAATTGAATTTATGAAAAATCAAGGTTTAAAAAGCAATGAAACAATGCAAACATGGTTGTCGAGGGCGTCGAGCCTACAGTAAAGTAAAGGTGCGCTGATGACCCAACGTGACAGGCGATCATATAAATTGGCATGTGGAGGCCACGCCCCTAACTGTACCAAAGTCAGAGTGTGAAGTCAGATTTGCCAGGCGTGGCCGCTGGAGACCATCCCATCCAATGACTCAATTTAATTGGCTCTTATCATTTTTATTGCCGGAAAACCCATGAAATATTTTTTTTTTTAATATACGGCCGCCTTGCCGGTGTGTGTTTACTGTAAAACCGTATCTAATGAATTTTTTTTTCTCTTTGCCTTTTACTTTGCAAGGGGGCGGTATGCATTCAAAAATACATTTTTCGCACCCTCCGGTCTCTTGCACTCTTCACTAACTCTTCACCATTTAAAGCGAGACTTTTCACTCTACGCCAGGTGTTTTTTTTTTTCTGTGTTTGTTTTTTGTTGTTGTTTTTTTTTGGCCTTCTCCCTGACACCTTGTTTCTTTAGGTTAATCCTACCTGTGCTTGCCTAGTTATTGGAAAGTTAATTTCGACTGACGAACTATAGGAAATCCGATACCTGTAATACCTGTAATACCTGTAGACATAACTTCAGCACCGAGCCTATTGAATGGGTGCAGCCAGCCCAGGACAGAGCCAGGTGAAGAACAGCTTTCAAGAGTGGGGTTCAATCTCATGAAGCCAGTAGGATAGCGACAGCTGAGACGCGCAGGTTAACCCCCCAAAAAAGACAACCTTCGACCACTCAATACAGCAACTATCCCTCGCCCGCGGTGCCAGAGACTATTCCGAGCATGGATCGGACTAGCAGGCCACCTACGATCTCACCGTGACACTCTCCCCCCCCCCAACAATAAATCGGATGACCAGATGGTATGTGTCGATCTTGACAGAAAAACGAGAAAAAAGAGGAAGGTCTAGCGACACACACAAATTAGACCATGATGGTGACGTCGAAGGGCTATGTGATTAAATTTACCGTAGTGGTTAGCAGCAGCGGACGATGGTGATGTATTGTAAATCGCGATATCATTGAACAGCAAATGATGGTGTTGACACTCTATGAACAGCAAATGATGGTGTTGACAATCCATGAACAGCAAATGATGGTGTTGACACTCTATGAACAGCAAATGATGATGTTGACACTCCATGAACAGCAAGTGATGGTGTTGACGCTCCATGAACAGCAAATGATGGTGTTGACACTCCATGAACAGCAAGTGATGGTGTTGACGCTCCATGAACAGCAAATGATGGTGTTGACACTCCATGAACAGCAAATGATGGTGTTGACACTCTATGAACAGCAAATGATGGTGTTGACACTCCATGAACAGCAAATGATGGTGTTGACACTCTATGAACAGCAAATGATGGTGTCGACACTCTATGAACAGCAAATGATGATGTTGACACTCCATGAACAGCAAATGATGGTTTTGACACTCCATGAACAGCAAATGATGGTGTTGACGCTCTATGAACAGAAAATGATGATGTTGACACTCCATGAACAGCAAATGATGGTGTTGACACTCTATGAACAGCAAATGATGGTGTTGACACTCTATGAACAGCAAATGATGGTGTTGACACTCTATGAACAGCAAATGATGGTGTTGACGCTCTATGAACAGCAAATGATGGTGTTGACACTCCATGAACAGCAAATGATGGTGTTGACACTCCATGAACAGCAAATGATGATGTTGACACTCACAGCTGACCATTTGTCATCGCGCGCCTTCTATGACCACTCACTTTTGTCAATACAACTTTGAGCCAATTACGACCTTCTTTTTCAACTATATATTAAGGGCCCACGATCAATTTTTTGATCATTTTGGCTCCTATGCATGTAGCGGGGATTTGCAATGTTTCTGTGCCTGGTGTTGATTTCACTGATTGCAAATGCTACTTTGTGAGGTATCATGCCCCTGGGGCTCGAGGCAATAAATGCAGATTTGTCTAGTGTTGTCGCCTCAACTGTTCCTTTTGAAAGCATGTTCTAGATTTTCTTGGGCAGGAATGGGCCATTCCTATACTGGCTTCTCGCTGGTGTGAGCCGGAATAGCCTGTCATAGTCTCAACGCTGTCTATGGGGGAGAGGGACGAGTTTCTGTTTAAAGCTGGATCAGTGGACAAGCCCATTATTTATTTTTTACATCATGGAGAGCCTGGATAGTCGTCGTCGTTCCTCCAATGGTGACCAGCCCAGTGTTTCCAGCATGCTGCCATCACTAGATGTATTCCTGTAGCGGTTCAAGATAAAGCGTGCTGCCCGTCGCTGGACCGCCTCCAACCTGTCGATGCTCTTTATCCTTTTACGACTTGATGCAATTACGACGTGACGCGCCTCTTGACCTTGACGGGTCTACTTTCACTATTTCACGTACAGTTTGTGTCTTCAAATGTCCTTGACCCGTGCCGCCCTCCGACTTTGTGAGTGCAACTTAAAAATGGCTCCGAGGCGTAGCGAAAGACTGTGGCGTCATGAGTTTCCTTGTGAAGCGGATTTGCTAGATTTTGTGGCGCCCTGTGCGGGCTTTGTTTTTTTTACCGCCCTTAATTTACAAAAAAAAAAAAAACACACTTAAACATAAGCAGAATAAATAATATGAAGTTAGCGGGGAAATGCCACCTCAAAATAGTGGCGCCTAACATAGTGACGCATCAGTATAGTGCCATCTTGTTTCCGTAAAAGTGAAATTATGCTTTCATCTGTCATGTTTCAATTGTCATATGTAGATGGTAGAATGTAAGAAGGGGCGGGGCGCTGAAAAAAAGGGGAGGGGCCAAATTTGGATAATATGGGATGAGAGGGATAACCTAGATGGGAGAAAGAGGTTAAAGTAGGCGCTAATAGGTAAGTATGGGATAGATTGGTGGGTAGTATTGATGGGACGGGATCAAGCTACGAGAGTGGATGGGGATTGAGTGGTTATGGACATGGTCTCAGAGTGAGGTGAGATAGAGGTGAGAGAGAGAGAGGTGAGGTAGAGAGGTGAGAGAGAGGTGAGGTAGAGGTGACAGAGATGTGGGAAAGGAGTGAGAGAGAGGTGAGGGTGAGGTGAGAGGGTGGTGAGAGAGTGGTGAGATAGAGGTACGAGAAAGGTGTGAGAGGGTGGGAGATAGAGGTGAGAGAGAGGTGAGATAGGGATTAGAGAGAATTGAGAGTGAGGTGAGATATGGGTGAGAGAGAGGTGAGAGAGGGGTGAGAGAGGGGTGAGAGGGTTAAGAGAGGGTCAGAGAGTGAGGAAGGGGTAAGAGTAAGGTGAGGGAGGGGTGAGAGAGCCGTGAGAGAGGGGTACGAATAAGGTGAGAGAGGGGTGAGAGAGGGGTGAGAAGAGAGGGGTGAGAGGGAGTTAGAGAGGATTAGAAGGGAGGGTGAGAGTGAGGTGAGATACGGGTGAGAGAGTGGTGAGAGAGAGGTGATGTATGGCCAACTAGCCCAATTTTTACTGACACTAATGAGTTGGTGCGATTGTGTGTACTGAACTATTGGGCATGCTCATAACCCGAATCATCGTTCGTTAACCGAGACAAAAAAAGTGTTCTCCAAAACGTGTTCGTCAACCGGGGCGTTCGTAATACGAGGATCCACTGTATTAAATTCTCTTCTCACTGCGCTACTTTATACGATAGTGTATAATCCACAACTGAACTCCTCCCCCCCCCCTCCCCTTAAACCCCACCTGATAAGGACAAGTTTTTACCATGCCGCCCCCGCTCCTTTCCTTTCCTGTACCCATGAGATAACGTTGATACAAAACAGTCCATACCTCTAGCTCCCAGTCAACGAGAACGTTACATTCTGGTCTTGAATCAAGATTGAACCGTGCCGATAATTGCCTTGTGTACACTTCAATGTCACAACAAGGTCATCTATCCACTCCACTGGACGTCGTTTCAACCGTTGAGTGTTTTCCCACAATCTTTGTCCCCAATTTTTTTTTTTTAAACAACACAATTGTTATCGCACGTCTTATAAGCTACTATTATTGCACCTTTTATAAGCTGCAATTACTTTCGATTCTCTTATTTCATATAATATCAATGCAGTTTTGTAACATTTACTTTTTTTTTTTTGGGAGGGGGGGGGAAGTAGTACGCGCTTTCAGGGGCGTCGCAAGCAAAGCTTTTACCCGTTAAAATTCCTGAATTTAGGAGCCCTCTTCCTCCCCCCCCCCCGAAAAAGAATGTTTAATACACATATTTCGCATAAAAAGTGAAGATTTTGATGCACCCAGAAGAGGGCTCAAAGCTTTTACCCGTTAAAAATCCCGAATTTAGGGGCCCTCCTCCTCCCCCCCCCCCCCCGAAAAAGAATGTTTAATACACATATTTCGCATAAAAAGTGAAGATTTTGATGCACCCAGAAGAGGGCGCCCGGGTCACGTCATCACCTCTATCTAACCCCTCATTCGCACGGCCCTAAACGCCCCTGAGGTATAGATTTGCATAGTCTGAAAATACAAGCGTTTCCAAAGGTTGCTTACTGAAAGGTTGTCTTACTTAAAGGTAGTCTTACTGAAAGGTTGTTTTACTGAAAGTTTGTCTTATTGAAAGGTTGTCTTACTGAAAGGTTGTCTTATTGAAAGGTTGTCTTATACTTAAAAGTTGTCTTACTGACAGGTTGTCTTACTGACAGGTTGTCTTACTGAAAGTATGTCTTACTGAAAGGCTGTCTTACTGAAAGTTTGTCTTATTGAAAGGTTGTCTTACTGAAAGGTTGTCTTATTGAAAGGTTGTCTTATACTTAAAAGTTGTCTTACTGAAAGGTTGTCTTACTGAAAGGCTGTCTTACTGAAAGTTTGTCTTACTGAAAGGTTGTCTTACTTAAAGGTAGTCTTACTGAAAGGCTGTCTTACTGAAAGGTTGTCTGACTGAAAGGTTGTCTGACTGAAAGGTTATCTCACTGAAAGGTTGTCTCACTGAATGGTTGTCTCACTGAAAGATTGTCTCATTGAAAGGTTGTCTTACTGAAAGGTTGTCTTACTCGAACGGTTGTCTCACTGAAAGGTTGTCTCACTGAAAGATTGTCTCATTGAAAGGTTGTCTTACTCGAAATGTTGTCTCACTGAAAGATTGTCTCACTGAAAGGTTGTGTAACTGAAAGGTTGTCTCAATGAAAGGTTGTCTCACTGAAAGATCGTCTCAGTGAAAGTTTTTCTCACTGGAAGGCTTTCTTACTGAAAGGTTGTCTTACTCGAACGGTTGTCTAACTGAAAGGTTGTCTCACTGAAAGATCGTCTCACTGAAAGGTTGTTTAACTTTCGAAAAGTTGTCTTACTGAAAGTCTGTTTCACTGAAAACTTGTCTAACTGAAAGGTTTTCTCACTGGAAGGCTGTCTTACTGAAAGATTTTCTCACTGAAAGGTTGTCTCACTGAAAGTTTTTCTCACTGAAAGGCTGTCTTACTGAAAGGTTTTCTCACTGAAAGGTTGTCTCACTGAAAGTTCTTCTCACTGGAAGGCTGTCTTACTGAAAGGTTTTCTCACTGAAAGGTTTGGCTCACTGAAAGGTTGTTTCACCGAAAGCTTGTCTCACTGAGATTTATTTCTTGGCTAACATACGACAAGAATGAGGATATTTGATGACGATGAATGTGCCATGGGCGTAGCCCGCCCCCACCCCACCCCCCCACCCCCGCCCCCGACTGTTAAACGGGGGTATCACATGGCACACTCGATTCGCTGATTACCTTCATCATTTCGGTCGTCCTTGAATGATTATTTCAGTGACGGAAGTGATAAGGCGACGGGTCTGTATAATCTAATCTTATTTTCAATACAATGTCCACAATAGTAATTAGAATTATCACACAAAGCTTTACATACCCCTTAATACGGTGTCACGTACCGTTATGGGTACACAGATTAAATCTGTGCTAATAGTTTGGATCGTGCAACAAACAATGTGTAAGGAAAGACTGATCTAAAGAAAGACTATGCCACAGCTAGGGATACTAAAAATTACTTTAATTATATAAATACATTTTTACCAATACAAATGTAAGTACGGAAGCAAAAAGTGTATCAACTTACAGCATGTGAAAAATAAAAAGTACAATCTTCAAAAAATAAATTATATTATTTTATAAACACAATTTTAAAAAACGGCTCGTAAGTCTATTTATAAGGCTCACTAAGTCTACATCTAAGTTAATCTCGGTAAGTCTAAGTCTTGGAAAGTCTATCTGATAAGAAATCTGGCGTTTTTAATTTATTAATTAAATCTGAACGTTCTACTACTGAAAATCTAGAAATCGCGTCGCATATTGCCATTTTGAGAAAAAAATGAGAACGCAATCGAACGTAAACAAACTTTATAGCAGAGCTATATACCAAAATGTATAGTCTTCAAAACGAACGCGAATATTTTAAACAAAAGTGATTTATTTAAAATAACTTTATAGTTTGCATGGCTACACTCTTTCAATTTTTTTACAATAATTTTGTGGGTCTGGTAATGTAAACTAAAAATTGTTGAAAAGTCAAGAGACGAAAAAAAAGTGGCGGTGTTTAGCTTCCGTGTCAGCAGTACACTGAGATGAAGTCATCACTTTTTTAGCACGTCGCTGCGATGGGTTGTCATGGACGCTGCGGTTACTGGTTGCCGTGACGTCACAGCGTACGAAAAGCAACATGATTGGGGAGTGATCATTGTTACAAATGTGCCGCAAGAAACACTGGGTTGCAGGTACGTAAACACACACACACTCTCGAACCTACGCACGCGCGCACACAAACATTCACACACACACACACACAAGTGTTATAATAAACACATAAATATAAGATGAAATATACAAAGTGCCTAATAACACAATTAGCTAATCAACTCTACATGTTTGTTTATCAATTCAAAGTCTCTGTCTATGTCCTCGACATGTTAACTAGACAACGTCTCGTGTATCTTCCCACAGAGCGCCCAAATGCCTCCAGCTGACCAGTGCCACGGTCACGACCGACTTACGCCACTTTGAGACCTCCCATCTCCTCGGCCACCCACATCTGTTATCTGGGTACCTCTGGGCCGTGACGAGAGGCGCCACGTCGATCCTGCGCGTCGACTGCCCGTCCTTACCCTTGGCCGATATCACAAGGACCTTGAGACGAGCAGACGAGCATCCATCCGGTTTGTGGTACAACTCGAGCACCGTCTTCATCGCGTCACAATATTGGGCGCAACCGATGACCCTCGATAAAATTGACGGGAGAAAGTCCACAGAAGTCAAGGGCGATCAATCCAAGTATCCAACATCGGATATGTTTCACTTGGGTGACCTCAGGGACGTTTCGATCCGCCATGTTGTTTGTGTTCCAAACGCTAAACAAACGCCAAACCCGGAAAGTGATAAGCGCGGAAATTTGGCGCCCGTTGTCGTGGGTCCAGATGTAATTGCGCCCCTCCCTGTTGGGCCCACACTTTTCCTGAAAAATTCTTTCTACTACATGTTTAAACCCCTTGATGCGGATGATTCTCAACTCAAATTATTTGAGGCTCTCTGGGTTCACGAACTGAAAAGGTTGAGACTCGTTAACGTGGCCTTCTACCCGTCGACAGCGCCTCGTTCTGAAAACTCCGATCTTTGTTTTTCTAACGCCAAGGACGACACACTCGGTGTCGTCAAATTACGAACCATGGTTGAATGTGTTCAAGCCGGAGAGTGCGAGCACGCGTCAGACGCCCAAGAGTGTGTGGTGCAGAAGGCTCAGACCGTTCTTGGTTGTTTGAACTTCCATCCAAGTTCCATCGCCAAAAATGTGGAGCTGCTGAAAGCCTGGTTGAGAGACTTGCATTCACTGAGATTACCAACAATTCGCCCACAGCCGGTTCCGGTGAAAAACGCTTTCAAGATCAAATACAGAGTGGGTGCGAGTTTTTCCGGACACTTGACACAACTGAGTCAAATGGCCACACGTATTTCCCAATCAATGTCCGAGGTGTGCTCAGATCATTTCAAACCAAGGCTCAACTTCCTCGACGCCATGTTACATCCGGTCATGGACGACGTCTTGCTCATCGTCGTCATCAATTACGAATCATTGTTCCGGAACGTGCCGTACACGGAGTTCATGCACAGACCTTACTTCAAGCATATCTTATACTGCGGGCCCTCGGCGGACCACTTCGCGAGTTTCGCGGGCGATCTTGGCCTCACTTACGTCAGCTACGTGGAAGGTTTGACCCATGGCTGGTACCTCATGTACGAGTGCGTCACACACGGGATGAAGCTGGGACTTCCAGTTAAAGGTTACCTGCAGATCGGGGAGGACGTCCTCCTCAACACCTGGAAGCTTGTCGGTCTTCCACGCGACCGGATTTGGATGCCAGCCGGGTTCACCAGAAGGAAGTTACACGACACGAGGCGCGTACACAACTGGGTGCATTGGAACTCTCCCATGGGTCAACGGGCGGCCATCCAAGTGTTCTCGGAGATCCGAAATGCCTCCGGCGATACATCCCTTGGGAACCACACGCGAGGGTTTCGAGGCTTCGCCAAAAGGTTCTTGGCGAACTACGAGCACAACATCGGGTTGGGATCCATCATCCACCGCGCGACCGACATCTTCTACGTCCCGGATGTCCTGAGGGACGATTACATCACGGCGTCCGAGCTGTTCCGACGTCACGGGTCGATGATCGAGATCGCACTTCCCGTCATCCACTACGGACTCGCCAGGAAGGAAGAGGTGGTGTACATGTCGGGGTCCAGCCTGTGGGGGAAGGACAGGACGAGCCCGTGGACGCACTACGACCCTGCCAGGCAGTTCTTCATCCACCCGTTCAAACTGTTGCGTCACACCTCACAACTGGACGGGAGGCGATTCTTTTGTCAAACTTTTCTCCCTAGACACGAGCGTGGCCTAATGCACCAATCAGCATTCAATACCACGAACAGTCTAAAAAATTCGTAGATGTTTAAACCTATCATTTAACTCGACTTGGGGGAGGTGGGGGGGGTGGTTACTGTGTGTCGTTCTTGAACCCTTTTGAGCACATTATTCCTCTGGGCTCCCGACATCCTACCGAAACGTAATTTACCACACGTTCATTTTACTACATGTCCAAGTTACCACACGTCCAAGTTACCACACGTCACAGTTACCACATGTCCAAGTTACCACACGTCACAGTTACCACATGTCCAAGTTACCACACGTCCCAGTTACCACACGTCCAAGTTACCTCACGCCCCAGTTTTCTCACGTCCCAGTTACCACACGTCCCAGTGACCAAAGGACACCGTGTTAGTCTTATCACATGTTTGCTCTGAACATTAAAAATGTCAGAGTTCTCAAGATAAGGGGGTGGAGTGAGTTGGGGGGGGGTAGGGTAGGGGGGGAGCAGTTCTGGTAACGTCCCTTTGATTTGAAATCATGATTGCCTGCTGGCGTGTCACTTGGCGCTATCATTCAGGTTGCCGGAAGAACTTTGGGGACTACGCTACAAGATACAAGTAGCCTACGTCTACGGTAAGGTGATTAGGAAGACGTGCGTCTTGGCGCTATCATTCAGGTTGCCGGAAGAACTTTGGGGACTACGCTACAAGATACAAGTAGCCTACGTCTACGGTAAGGTGATTAGGAAGACGTGCGTTCGAGGTGTGTGGGGGGTGGGGGGGTGGGGGCATTTCATGATCAGAGTGTTGGCTTAGGAAAATCAAAGTATCTAAACTTCATATATGAATGTAATCATTTCTAGAAAAGGTGGGATGGGGTGGGGTTGCAAGGGCCGGGGGTGGGGGGGGGTCTTCCATAGATGTGTTACTGAGAATGAGGGAAACATATGTGATATGAAGGACAGGCCCCGTGGGGGGGGGGAGCTTAGCCTATTTTGTGTTGTGTTAATGTGTGTGTTGCATGTGTGTATATCTGTGAGTTAGTGTATCTGTTTGTGAGTGTTTATGTGTTTTTTCGTATGTTAGTTTATGAGCAAGTTGTATGTGTATATTTGTGCATGTTAGTTTTTTTTTGTGTGTTTGTGTGTGTGTTTGTATTTGTGTGTCTGTGTTTGGGGGGTGTTTATGTATGTTAGTATGTCTGTGTTTGTATGTTTCTGAATTATATGTCGTGTGTATGTGTGTTTGTATGTCTGTGTTTCAATATACGACTCAAACAAACATTCGCGTCTCATTTGTTAAACATATTTATTGTCGTGTCTTCATACCTGTAGTGATAAGTGATAACTTATGATTTCACTGTGATTATGTATACAATGTTTTCTGATTAATTAAATTAGATTATATAGTGGAAACTTGGAGTTGGTCGGCCATTGGTTGCTGGGTATTGGTCGGCCATTGGTTGCTGGGTATTGGTTGGCCATTGGTTGCTGGGTATTGGTCGGCCATTGGTTGCTGGGTATTGGTCGGTCATTGGTTGCTGGGTATTGATCTGAAGTCGATGCTAGAGTTAGAAGAAAACGACACCCTAAAAGAAACCAAACATGGCGTGTGTCCTGGTGGAAGACAAACTATTTGTGGGTCAAGAACATAATGTGTCAAATATGTTGTTTAACCACACCAAGCACCAAGATGGCCGACACACACCAAGAACCAAGATGGCCGACACACACCAAAAACCAAGATGGCCGACGCACACAAAGAACCAAGACGGCCGACGCACACCAAGGCTCCAGTATTAACCTGCTGCTGACTAATTCAGTGCGACACACACCGTGGCGATATTATCAGAGAGTGGCTCAACGGTCGCGAATGAAATGATGTACCTGTGACGGATGCCTTGTTGAATGTGTATGTAAATATTCACTTTGTCATGCAATCTAAAATAAAAATAAAACATTTATCTGATACTTTATGCATATTATTTGTGTTCCATTGCTTTATTTTGATACGTTATATATATTATTTTTGTTCCATTGCTTTATTTTGAGACGTTATACATATTATTTGTGTTCCATTGCTCGAAGAATAATAGGTGAGTGAATAAAACAAAAGATGTCAAGCAATATGAGAAAATTAGGAAACATTGGGGGTGGGGTGTGGGGGTGGAGGGGGCGACAATGATCACACCCAATGCTGGGGATTAAAAGAGAACATCCAATGAATGAAGTTGTTACAAATCTCCATGGAAACCAAATCCTGAGTTTCATTAAAGCACCGGGCTCCCCCTTCCCTACCGCCCCCCCAAACCCCCCCCCAAAACTACAAACTCCACCCCCCCCTATTCCCCCCCCCACCGTTTAAAAAAAAACAGCACCCGTCATTAAGTGGGTCAGAGAGTAAGCGAGAAACCACATTAAATCATTTCTTCTTCGTCTTCAGATCACAGTATCTTCTTAACGGCCACGTACGTCAAGGGAGACCACCCGAAGAGAATCTGGCCCTTCGCCTGTCCCAACGCTTGAGGAATTTAACAAAGGGACGCCAACGTCAAAACGCAGACCGTGCAGATTCGAAGAGAGTTCTTGTTGCTGAGATGGATGCGAGGTCCGAGGATGACGTCAGGGACGTATTTTGGCTGAGCTGGTGACGTCGTGTGCGACGTGTTCACTCCGTGTTGGCTCCTCCGTCGACATCGAGCAAGGTGATTTCAATCGTCTGCCTGCCAGGTACGCAGTTGTCCGGTGCGACCGGTTTCGGCGCGAAAATGTTCATGCGCAGTAAGGTGCAAGGGGTTTAACGGGACGTGTCCAGGGGAAGGGTTAACCCCGGGCTGCTCTGGCTTGTCTGTTTCGCTCTGCAACTGCTGATCTGTTGGCTCAGTGCTGTTTGGAGTTTTGGTGCATAGAGGAACGCCCCGATGCTCGGTCTCTTGCGGATTCTTCTCAACTGTCAGAATGGCAGGGTTTTAATGATGTGGTCATATTACATGGTAGATATTTTTAATGTTTCCAATGTATGATAGAAAAGATTATCACTGCATTCTTTAATGATGATTGACAACCGTGTCAGTCATTTGCACACTGTAATATAACAATGTTCTTTTTTTCTTTTTTTTTAACTTTTGGGTGATGGAATCTTCTTCAAATTTTTATGGGAGGCTAATCATGTTGGATTCGAATAATCTTTTATTGTTTTGGTTGTTGCCCTTATATCATTTTAGCGGAGTTTGTATGTATATTTGTATGCGGGTGTGAAGTCTTGTGTTACTGACCACTGGTCAAACAGTAACAATATTTGTATGCGGATCTGAAACCTTGAGTGACTGACCACTGGTCTAACAGTAACATATCTGTATGCGGATCTGAAGTCTTGGGTGACTGACCACTGGTCAAACGGTAGCATATTTCTGGCTATTCAAATTGGTTTTTCCCCTAAATTGTAATAATTTGTTTAAAGTGCATGTTAAAACAATCAGTATATGATATTACTAACTATAGCTGGACTAAACAGTGGCGACGACAATGCGTGAACTTCCCATCTAATGGGGGTTACTTGATAAAACATGCATGCAAGTAACGCACTTAATAATAATCCCAATTACTGCTTCCCCCCTCCCCTCCCCAGGGTTGCAACCGCACATTTTTTTCACGCCCCTGAACTATATTAATTTTACAATGTCCCACCTCCTTTCATACCTCAGATTTATGGACACCATATTTGAGTTGAGACTATTTCTGTAACACTAAAGAAACTATTACCAAACGCACGTGCGGTATTTTTAAGAATCTCATTGAGAACAGCTATCGGGAACTTTCTTTAGGGAAATCAGTGGCATCTGGTAGCGTTAGTGACGCTCTGTAGCTCTGTAGCTCTGTAGCCTTGTAGGTATGTAGCTTTGTAGGTCTGTAGCTCTGTTGCTTAGTAGGACTCTAGCCTTGTAGGTCTGTAGTTCTGTTGCTTTGTAGATATGTAGCTCTGTAGCTTTGTAGGTCTGTAGCCTTGTAGGTCTGTAGCTCTGTTGCTTTGTAGGACTCTAGCCTTGTAGGTCTGTAGTTCTGTTGCTTTGTAGATATGTAGCTCTGTAGCCTTGTAGGTATGTAGCTTTGTAGGTCTGTAGCTCTGTTGCTTTGTAGGACTCTAGCCTTGTAAGTCTGTAGTTCTGTTGCTTTGTAGATATGTAGCTCTGTAGCCTTGTAGGTATGTAGCTTTGTAGGTCTGTAGCTCTGTTGCTTTGTAGGACTCTAGCCTTGTAGGTCTGTAGTTCTGTTGCTTTGTAGATATGTAGCTCTGTAGCTTTGTAGGTCTGTAGCCTTGTAGATTTTTAGCTCTGTAGCTTTGTGGATCTGTAGCCTTGTAGGTGTGTAGCCTTGTAGGTCTTGTAGAATATTTACATGAATATTTACATGAATATTTACATGAATGTTGACATGAATACTTACATGATTTTTGACGTGAATGCGTATAATAATGTTGACATGCATATTTACATAAATGTATACATGAATATTATCATGAATTTTGACATGAATATGTACACACATGTTTACATGAATATCTAAATGAATATTTACATGAATATTTTAATGAATATTTTAATGAATATTTAAATGAATATTTAAATGAATATTTACATGAATATTTAAATGAATATTTACATGAATATTTACATGAATTTGTACATGAATATTTACATGAATATTTACATGAATATTTACATGAATATTTAAATGAATATTTAAATGAATATTTACATGAATATTTAAATGAATATTTAAATGAATATCTAAATGAATATTTACATGAATATTTACATGAATATTTACATGAATATTTACATGAATATTTACATGAATATTTATTTACATGAATATTCACATGAATATTTATACGAATATTTACATGAATATTTAAAAGAATATTTAAATGAATATTTAAATGAATATTTAAATAAATAGTTACATGAATATTTACATGAATATTTATATGAATATTTACATGAATATTTAAATGAATATTTACATGACTATTAACATGAATATCAAAATGAATATTTACATGAATATTTAAATGAATATTTACATGAATATTTACATGAATATTTAAATGAATATTTACATGAATATTTAAGTGAATATTTACATGAATATTTACATGAATATTTACATGAATATTTACATGAATATTTAAATGACTATTTACATGAATATTACATGCATATCTAAATGAATATTTACATGAATATTTATATGAATATTTAAATGAATATTTAAATGAATATTTAAATGAATATTTACATGAATATTTAAAATAATATTTACATGAATATTTGCATGAATATTTAAAATAATATTTAAATGAATATTTACATGAATTTTTAAATGAATTTTTACATGAATATTTACATGAATATTTAAATGAATATTTAAATGA